ACAAGCAATGAAAAACAATCTCCATCTTTCGCAATAATCCATTTTTCCAAAAAGATTCAGCAACTTCAGAACGATGATATACCGTGTTTTGAACGTAAGGAAGTTGGCAGTTGTAATGACCAACCATAAGACTGTGCTCACACTTTGCGACTTAGCATTTTAGCAGAATCAGCGTTTTGAGCAAATAGGAAAGTGGGACAATCGATCTGACGTTGCAGAAAGGTTCAGCATTCTGAGTGAACCAGCGTTTGGAGCGGATTGGCGTTTTGTGTAAAGGATAGTATAGGCATCGACCGCTGCCAAAAACGCCTATCTGTTCATAACTTCTATCCGTTCAAAACCCTGACTCTCCCAAAACCTCGAGTCGCAAACCATAAACGCAGTCTTAGCAGCGAATGTGGTCGATAGAGTCGCGCGGCCCTCCAAACAGCGGCTGAAACCCGTCGCACAAATTGCGGCAAACCATATGCTAACGCCTGTGAAAATGAACGATAACCGTAATTTACCCTAGAGTTTTCACTCACTTTCTTACATATTTTAAGATATCCTCCATTTCTTCAAAATGTCCCTTTTCGACCATACGATCCGTCTCGTCCACGACTAAGCATACTAGACCGCTCCAGTCTGTTAGGTACTGGCATACAGGAACACCCTCTTCCTGAAATTTTACAGTTATTGACCAGAATCGATTTTTGGAGCACTGCAACTCTTACCATCTCTTTCATCATAGCCCAGAGGCGTCCAGGAGTTGCCACAATTACTTCGGGTTTCTGCTCCCTGAGAATACGAGCCTGTCGGACTTGTGCTAGCCCACCAACGATTGGGAATGCCTAGAGAGAAAACACTTTTCACACTTCAGAAACTTTAGCGGCATTATCAGACTGTCGTTTAATAACCAAATGTGCGGAGTAAAGCCAACAAACTACTTACTTTGAAACTCGTGAATTTCAAAAGGGCTGTTACATGCTTCATCACTTGCACGACCAGCTCTCTCGTGGGAGCTAGGATGAGCGCCTTGGGACCAGTTTTCTTCAACTGAGCCTCTTGCGGTAACTCTAGAAGTCGAGTAGCCATCGGTATCGCATAGGCCAGCGTTTTGCCGCTGCCCTAAACATGAAGAGGGATACATTAGAAAACGAAATCAATCCACTCAAATAATGATGAGCGAGTTTTAGTATACAGCTGGACCATAGAATGTCACCTACCGTCTCTGCTGCTCCCAGAACATCACAGTGGTCTCGAACTGCTAGGGGAAGCACTTGTTTTTGTATCTCGGTAGGAGATTTGAACCTGAAAGGATGAAAAGTACAATCATTCTCATTAGAAAAGAACAATTTCCGAACGCTGCTACGATAACAGTGAATTACGGGCATCCTGGCCCTCACCAGGACACGAAGCTGAACTTATCCTGGTGATGTGATAAGTGGAGAGCAGAATGTGGCCCCGCTGGAAGGTTGGTACACTATTGCTTTGTGCGTGAGATCAAGTTCGAAACCTCACGCACACAATGACGTTAGAACTTGGACCTTACGCACAAAAGTCCATATGTCGCTTACCCGCTCCAATAACTGGCGGAGAACGGATTTGGCGCCACGTCAGACCCATCCCACCTCATACGACCTCGTACGATCTGCAGCCAACAAGAATGTATTTGCAATGAGACTTGGCCAATACGGAAGATGTCTCTATTTTATCACGTCTAATCTAGCAGTTCTCTACCCTTCTGACCTCCCATTCGCTTAGCAACTACGATTCTTACGTTCTCGTCAAACGCTAGATGATATCTGAATCGCTTTTTGCTCAAAACGCCTATTCTCCCCAACAGCAAAGTATGAAAAGCTGACTGTCAGCCCCTCCTCAGTCAGCATGGACTGTGATTTGAAGTATAAGGCAGAAAAGAATTACCCCATTTCTCGAATCGCCCACATTAACGTTTCAGGCAGATAGAGCTCGTCCCATGATGACTTTGGTACCTCCTTAGGATTACCTGAAAAACCAGTAATTGTTTTTTCATAAGTTCAGGACCTAGTCATCCAAATAGCTAACCCACCAGACTCATCATCATCATCATCAGTAACCTCTTCGTCGTCGATGAGAATTCGTTGTGCAACCTCTTCCTGTTGCCGACTAGATGCTAGAGAAACCTTCTCTTTCGCTGATGGCTTTGAAGCCTGCGTAGGACCGTCGATAGCAAACTTTACTTTCTTCGCTTTCACAGTTCCTTCAGTATTTTCAGCTTTTCGTTTCTTTTTCTTCTTCTAAATCGCTGATATGGCAATTATCAGGGGGAAAATATTTGAACTAGAATGGAACTAACCTTCATTTCCTTTTCGTTACTTTCAATTTTGCCACCACTGGTAGCCTCGGCATTCTCCGCTTCGACCTTGCTGGGCTTCTCCTCTTGATCTTCTTTCACCTTCTTTCTCTTTTTTGCTTTCTTTCTCTTCTTTTTGACCTTTTTCTCTGTTTCTTCAACCGCTGGTCCGCATTCTGGATGATCGCCGTCTTTTTGCTGAAAAAGTAGGAGCTAAGGCCTGCTATCGTATCTCGTGAGGGTCCGTATTTATCAGTACGATTGCAGTGCCTTGTGCGGAGAACCTCTGTGTTGACTCATCAGGGCGGAGAATGGCGTACAAGATCCATGATGCGGTGTAACGCTAAAACTAGTACAGCACGGTTTAACTACAGTCTCGTTCACTGCGAAAGATGGGGCGCGGCAGAGCGGCTGCGTTTGGCGCGCGCCCCGCTTTTTTCTCATTTTTCGTTCAGCAAGCGACAAGACTGTGTCATATCATACGGAAGTCGTTTTCCACCAGTTGTTGTCACTACCATCTTCCAGGGCACATCGCTGTTGGGGAATCCCCAATGGGGGGGGTCGTATTTGGCCGCCAGGAGAGGGGGGTCGTATTTGGGCTGGGAAAAATTTATTTTGATAGTTGATTTTTCTCGCTTCACGGACGTTGTAAAGGGGGGGGTCGTACTTGGTCATTGTTGGGAGGGGGGGGGGGTCGTACAGACTCGACTAAAATCCCAACCAATGATGTGCCCTGCCATCTTCACCAACCAGAGGGGGATAGTTTGGCGACGTGCCCAACGCAACCGCACTGACACGCTCCATGCAGCAAAAAGACTGGAGCTTGATCCGGAATGCCGCAGCTTTTATACGTAAAATCGATTAAGTAATGTAGCGAATTAGAAAACTACTTCGCACGTTCAGTTATTAGCACTGAGTCGGATTGTGGCTGTTGGTACTGCGCTCGCCCCTACTGAACGCCCGAAGGTGTTCAGTAGGGACTGATACAACAATAGGGACAACCATCGATGGGAAAGGGGCTGGTGCCGCGCCAAAACAAACGTGTCGTAGACACGCCCTGACCGACTTTAGTGATAACGACTTTGCGTTGCCACACGGGCCGCTTTCGCTGCAGCCTTAATCGGCGCCGGCCTCCCGCCTCCCTCCCTCCCCCGCAATGAGTTAAAGGCAAAGATGTGAGACCTTACCAGAAGAGAGAGAGAGAGAGAGAGAGAGAGAGAGAGAGAGAGTGTGTGTGTGTGTGTGTGTGTGTGTGTGTGTGTGTGTGTGTGTGTGTGTGTGTGTGTGTGTGTGTGTGTGTGTGTGTGTGTGTGTGTGTGTGTGTGTGTGTGTGTGCGTGTGTGTGTTTCGACCGGAGTCATAGCGCGGGCTACAGCAACGATCGGACGTTGGTTCCTCGAACTAAGATAGAGGGCAAGATGGGAACATTAATGGTGGGTGGCAGGAAGTGATAACGGATGATAAGATCCACTAAGAGACCTTAGAAGGGTAGGTTGCCTTACTTCATAACGTCAGCCAAGTAACGGAGGGAGCTGGTCCGGCGACGTAGCGATAGGGAAGATGGGACATTATTGGTAGGGTTGGTAGGACTTGATTACGCTGATAGACGATACATAAAGAGGGGCCTTAGACAGGATTATTCACCAAATCTCGTACCATGCGTCGCAGCGAACAGTAGGACGTCTTTGCGAAGATTTTTGATACTATGGAGGCAGGATGGGAAATGGTGGTACAGAGGAGAAGCCTTCAAGTCAATGGAGAAAGGTTCAGTGAGCCAAGATTTCTATCCCTCCAGCGATAAGCCAAAATTGATTCGACCGCTAAATTTTAGGGTCTCACCCAAAAGTAAAAGCCTGAAGGTGTCTGTCAGTGAGCAATGATAAGAACCACCAGCTGACGGATAGCTAAAGCTGCTCAACGGAAGCGTCAAAACATAACGAGCTGTCACTAAACTTTCTATATTGTTACCACTGAATTTTTCCAACCGTCCTAACCCGTCCTATTTCCAGCGAATAGGTGGGATGTCTTGATTAAATGCGCGATACAGCACCAGACACTAGCAAACAATCATCAGAAGGAGAAAGATAGTGAAATGGCGCCGTATTTCAATACATGGGGATTAGGCCAAGTGTCAGCACAGAAATCCTGTCAGTGGGTACCACAGGTTTGACCATGCGCGCAGTTAGTGCGGCCGTCAGCCCAAACGTGGTACCCAGAACAATAAGTCTGACTAGGTGAAGTCATCACCTTTTTTGAGGCCTTTTGTTTTCTTTTTATGTTGTGTTTTTGGTTGAGACTGATATCCTCCGGTAAATCTCTTGAATAATCCCAAAAATCCGAATTCAGGAGTCATTTCAGATCGCACCCAGTACCGCGCCATCTCTCCATTTAGCCCCGCTTGATAGCGATACCACCTTCGGCATGGTGTTCCTGAGCCAGCGTCGTACGGTTTATCACGAGGACAATGGCCGAACTTATTTCATTAAGGAAATTTTATTAATCATTCTTAATATAAAGAGCCATTACTCCCCCAGCAAGCTGATTAGCAGCATCGTATTGAACTTGAAAGTTCATTTCAGTCTAGACAACAATCTCAGCCAAATCAGTACAACATCAACAAAACCACATAACAATTATTGAAAATGAAATGATACTAACTTCATAAGAACACTATTTTTACAGATAATTAACAACAATTTTCAACGATAACAATTTAACAGTCAACATTCCATGCTCCCTGCCTCGTTCTTACGTTGCAGCTTACGAGCTGCCAAAATGTACCGAAGACCGAACTTGTTCTGATCAGCTCTGTAAACATCAGGTGCATTACCGTAGTTAGAGACACATTTCACGACTCGCTAGTGTGGACCAAGTACGAGTTTGTAGGAATTAGGATAGTGAAAAGCGGAAAAGCGTAGATGGAACCATCGAAAACTCTAGGCCCCGTTCGACTTTCAGCATAGTGTAAACGGTGAAAATAAACGCAGAGACGCTCAGCGCACGCCCAAGAGCCACACAGCCCTACACATGGTCTGGAAAGTTGATGGTAACGCCCTACAAAATTAACAGACTTATGGACATTAGAACTTGGTTGGGAAGGGTTTCTGGCTAACTCAAGCCCATAACACCCTTCTGGCGCACTTTTGAGATATGGAGTTGGGACCGAATAACTGGCTGCGGACCTGCGCTCCTTATAGACGGAAAAATGTTCCACTTCTGAGGTTACAGCGGAACTTGCCGTAAAAAACATCTTGGCGCAAAAAGCACAGAAAAATTTGGAAAAAAGACAATAAATCAGAAGAAATGATGTTGAAGACGTACAATTTCGAGATTAGCTGCGTATGGTGAGCAACAATCTGTTGAATACCAGTCAAGATTGCAACATCTGTTCGTCCTTTTAGGCGCATACCATGGATATTGAGAATGTGTCGTAACCAAATCTAAAAAAAATCATATTATAAAATATTGCTCCTGCAAAAAAGATCACTATAGGCACATAAGCACATCGATGGGCATCCATGTTGACTGAACTTGACAGATGTCAGTGAAGCATAACCCAATTTCAAGGGTGAAAAACAAAAATAAGTTAATTTTACTCCTTCCAGGCTGAAATTTAGAATGATGATTTCGGTCCTCCTTTGAACTGAGCCACGCACACTGCCTCCATTCGGATCTGCAGTGGAACTTCGAATATGACTCATCTGACTTGCTGGGCCAGCTGATGTCAAATGCTCGCAGAGTTGGCACTAATTAACCGGCCACAAAGGATGGATGTTTTGGTCGGATGCACGGATTTCGTCCCCACCGGGTGTGTGGTAATCGACGCTACTTTCCACTGCACCTCCACCGCCTCCCTAGCTTAATATAATACAACTTCTTTTTTAGTCATAACAAAAGCATCACAGTCACTCCCTTCTACGCGGTGAACAAGCATGTGGCAGCGAAGCCAATACGTCTTGGTACGCACGTTCCATATTCTTAATCTTTCTTCCCAAGCAAACTGTAGATTATCTCCATGGGTTCTCGTCCCTGCGGTGTTTGGGGAGATGGGTCCGAAGCAGCAGTAGCGCTCGCCACTTTCTTTCGGTCAAAAGTGCCCGGAGACCGGCGCTGGATGGTAGTGATGTCCACAACCGCACGACCAGCGAGAAGCCTAGCGGCGCAGTTAGACGAAAGGGAGGGGGTGACATTTTGCTTCCCATAAATGTGCCGACCCATCTAGACAGCCTTTACCTGATTAAGTTTTACCACTGTGGCCAGACGAGCTCTCTCCCAGCTCAGCAACGGTTCACAGTTTCAGCCCATAGTGATGACTTGTAAACGGAAGTACGTGAAGGAGGCAGTGAAAGTGCAAATGCACCCCCCCCCCCCTGGTCACGAACTGCGTCCGCACTACGACAATGAGCAAACGCGGCTAACTTGTCCGACTTGCTTCTTATTGTTTTGCCCTGATTCGTGAATGGTTCTGCTACCTGGTCAGACGCGTGTATCGCTGGCGGGGACCGCCTCGGTGTTGATAGCAAGTGGCTGCACCTGAGAATAGCGCAAGGGACTATGGAGACAGGGCCCCTCGGGTTTACCTACCTAGGACCACGCCGGAAATGACCGACTGGGTCTCCCAGCCTTTCCCAGCAAGTGGGCTTAACTCCTGCAGTGCCGAAAACCTGCATCTTCGCATGGCAATGCCCATCCGTACTGTTTGTCTCTAATAATTATTTACATTGTCTAATTGTTGAAAGTAGGCGTTTACTACGAGTCAAAATAAAATATAGAAAATTTGCAGAGAAACTATGGGAAACTCACCATGTAGAAATGCACGTGGGTTGAGCTGGCCACCACCCTACCATCGGCGATCCATTTGAGAAGCTTCTCCACGTACGGTAAGGGTAAGGATCGAACAACCAACTCAACTGAAAAGCAGTAATCAAATAGGCAGGATTACTTCATATGTACTATACTAAATAAACTGACTCTGTTCCAGAGCTGTACTTTCCATACTTCTCTGTATTAATGGAGTATCATTCAGTCGCAAACTCGCCATAAGAGCCGTGGAGTAATCGTCCAAGTCGAAAGAGCAACTGAAATGGGAAATCAGATGAAGGCCTAACCAGTAAGCGAAGAAGGCACAACTTACTTTTTAATCATTGCAGGCGTCGTCTGACTGTCTAGCTGGAATGGATCGAACAAGCCTACAGTATCCAACGAGTACACTCCAACGCCTTCTGTACTGCATACCGCAAATCGTCGACCTACAACAACATCAAGATTCTGTATACCTGTTGGTAGCATCTCCCGCCCTCCATTTCTGAAGAGCTCACACTCATCCAGTTGGCAAAACCCCAAAAAAATTTTTTGACACCGCATAGACAGCTACTTGAGGTCGAGCAGAACGCTCTCCAAGATCAAAATGCTTCGAGCCAGGAAGTCGTATGGCTCGCTTTCCATCCGGTTCGGTTTCGGAATCCGAGGAATCGTAAAGGGCCATGTTACCAAACTCGGTGAAGTTACGCCGATTCACATCTAGCTGAAAAGAAAGCTTTCTTCAAATAAAGAAAACCATAGGATGTTACGTTCCTATCACCTGTCTTTCCAGACATGCACCGCATCCTAGCCCGCTGCAACGATAACCTAGCGCAGTCAAACTCAAAAAACCCAAGAGGCATTTTTATACCCAACCGCAGGAGGGCGTGGCTGCATAATCCATTTGAAAGTGGTCGCCACTTTGATGGGATGTGGCCATTCTGGGACCACCGTAATTACGTATTTGTTTAGCATGAAACAGGGCAACAGCTTCCTCAAATCCCAGATGAACGTGTCCTACAGCGAAAGAAGTGCGCAGCCACGCAGCCACGGGCCTTCCATCTCTAGAATGCAGAGTCGTCTTTACGTCCGGCTAAAAATTAAGTATGGGGGTTTCATAAAAGAGCGTTTATAATTTGCGATTTCGGACCGAATCGCGCCAACGAATAGATGAGATGAGAGTTGATGCGACGCCCACTCGAATCGCCCACTCTGCGCTCTCCGGAACTCAACATTGCTGTGTAATGCAACGGGGTACAATAATGATCAAATATCTTACACCGACTCCGTCGAGGCTGCGATTTTCTGTGATCGTGAACTTCTTCACAAGCATACGATCTACCACCGAATACAAACAATTGTTCGAATCTCCACCCAGCAACAACAGCGCACTGTCAGGAGAGAACTGCATACAGGTGAATGATCTGAATCAACAAGTTCGTCGTATGAAAAAGCGTTAGCATTTTTGAGATCACTATATTCAGAAGAAAACTTACTTGCTCTTGGCAGCATTTTGCCTGGTGATCAAGTCAGCTTGTCCTCTTGAAGGGTCTAGATCTAATCTGGCATCAATCGATCCAATGAAGCCCATCTTAAAAAAACATTAAATGAACTATCATGGATCCCCACTCAATTCTGTTAATGCGAATAAGAGTTGAGAAAAACTGGTAAATGAGTTCTTGAAGACGCCATTTGCGATTGCAACTCGTAAGGTAATTTCGTCAAAAACAAAATTGTAGGCACTGGACGACCTGATATTGAAGACAAAAGCAAAGGGTATGGTCAAAAATGAACGTGAATGAATTACCATGTTTTTCAAGCATTGGCCAAGTTTACCAGCATACTGGCGAAGTTTCCGAATTTGCTGTCATGCAAGCAGATCCATGGCCTGGTGGTAAACTTCCTCTGTTCAACTGTTCGCGATCTAATATTGCTGTTCTTGTTCAAAAAGCAGTTGCATTAACGCAGTTAGCAAAAACCCACAAGGTAACAATTTCTTGGAAAAGCACATGAAACAGTGCTACGATTCTGCAGGCAACAAAGGTGTGGAGAGTAATCGGGCAGCTGTCCTTATATGGGAGGTTCCCGGGAAAACAGTTCACAAAAAGTAACAGTGCACAAGCCCCTATCGCCTTTACTGCGCTTCCACCTGACGAAAATGGTCATTTTCTCCGTCTGCGAATCTGGCTACCACTTACACGAAGAGACTACACATCAGCTAATCATCGTCAATGGTGTCTTCAAGAGGAATCGACAAGGTTTCTGATACTGTTTCCACAATAGCCTGTAAACTACCTACATCCTTTGCATGATAAATTGTGATGTTTGAGTCGACCGTGAGCACGGCTATCATCAGTCCGCAAGGCGAAAATGACACTGCTAGACCTTCTTGTGCAAGCTCAGTCGTCTCACATGTTGAAGTCACGATGTTCCATAACCTGCAGTCAACTTTTCTTGGCGAAAGCTGACCTCACTCTAGTTCTATACAAACAACACCACACGCGAATTCTTTACGATGTTGGAAACTCACTTGAGCGTTCGATCCCATGAAACACTAGCCAACGCGTTCCCATGCATACTTATATCGGCAATACTTGACTGATGTCCACTCAGCACATCTAACAGCGACCCGTTTTCCATGCTCCAGACAAAAATCTAAAT